ATGGCAGCACCGATGAGATATTTTGGAAGAAAGGGGGGAAATAAAGAAATCAAGTGTAAACAAGCCCTGCTGTATTACTCCACTGACTTTGCATTATTTAAAGCAAAGTGCTGTTAGTACAGAAGCCAGATGTTTAACTCCTGGAATACTGTATCATGGCGTACTTTCAGGGGGCTAGACTTTGTATCTGTTTGTAGCATATGGAAAGAAACATTCACATATTTGATATAGTAGATTAAATGAGAGCCAGAAATTCTATGAAGTAAACTTTGACCTGTGTGATATGAAACCTCTTTTGAGCTAACAACTGACAAAAAAGGAAAGAAACCTCCAAGGAAATCAGTGTACGACAGCAAAAAGGAATGCCTAGGACTGTTATATGTCCACAGGCAGCACTTTGAAGGTTGAGTAAATATAAGGAACTTTTTGATAACAGTTGGAAGGCAGCACTCAAATTGTGTCTGAGAGATGAGAAAGACCTATATGGGTGCCCAGCATACTGACACAGCAGGATCAGTCAGTATTTCAAGGCAACACCATAAAAAAAAATCAAGGGACAGAAAACTGATATTTAATGTGCAGAACCACCAGCTGTTTATTTACTAATATGGATTTTGGTCTAGAAATTAACTTCAGTGCTTAGTTACGTCAGTCCCTACGTAGGAGATCACTCAGGCATGTGCTTACTATTGAACACGTGCTTTAATCCAGCAGACCGTGCTGGAGTTTGAACAGTTGCCTAGATCTAAGTGCATATTTTAGTAACTTGATGAACTGGGACCATCTGATCCTGTAGCCCTTCCAAAACAAGATGGGCCAAATAGTGATAATATCTGTAGAAGTGGTAGTACCTCGTTGTAATTCTTTATCTGATTTCTGCTCTTGATAGCATCTTTTGTGTACTTCAGCACTTAAAAGGACAAGAGCAGTTTAAAATTTACTGGTTTAAGACTAATTTATACAACAGATACTTCTCAAAAGTAGAGTAGAAATCAAGATTGCTGAAAAAGAATACTTTTTCCTTTTTTTTTTTTTTTCTATTTATTTACTCTACCTGCTGTACAGCACTTCAGGTAATATCACTTTCTATTTCATGCAAATTTGAATTCCATGTGATTACCTAGGTCTTTCAAAAACCTTGAGAAAACTGGGTTTTTAAAGAACGAAAAATTAAAACCACTTGATTTCACAATACTTATGTTATCTTTTTATGACAGATGAATATTTAGTGTGCCATGTAATACATAAATATTTAAATCTGTAAGCAAATGTCAACTTTCATTGCTGACCACATCACTGACGTGTCGGTGATTCCATTCCAAACTTGTTACATGCACCATACAGGTTTTTTTAGAGACCTATAAGTTATTATATCCTTCTTCATGAAGTCATTTTTCTGTCAGAAAGAAAAACATCTCCTAGATATCTTTGGTCTGGCTACAGTAAAAATAATTTTGAAGTACACTGAGATTGTCACCTGAAAGACTCCAAGATTCACAATTTGTATTAACTATTTATGCATCTCAAAGAGCAGAGGAAATGTTGCTACTGACTACTAAATAAGGCAGGCAATGCTTCCTGAGTTATTCTAGGCATTTTCTTAATTTTATAATGGTAAATTTGGACATTGAAGGGTAAAATAACTTCCATGCAATCAGACAACAAGATATTACCTAGATGAGAATAAAACTCAGTATTTACAACTTCCAGCTGACAAAAAAATGTGTAAGTTCCTTTTTGACTTACTGAGAAGGTTTCATACACAAATAGAGTACCTGGCTCTAGTTCCTCTGCTTTATATACCATCAAAGAAAAATCAAATGTGTTCCTGTTGTAATTATTGTTTTTACCAAAAAGTTGTAAATTTCATGCAAGAAATGCTACTGATAAACTGGTAGAACACTGCATAACCCATTGCATGCCACTGTGTTATCTTAAGTCTTGAGTAAAGATAATAAAGGAAAGAAAGCATCAGATTATATAGCTGAGCTAAGTTTAAAATGGCAAAATGCAAGCAATGCTGTGCAAGTATAGGCTTAACACGGACAAATTGGTAAGAAGTACTGATTGTTAAAGAAGATGAAAGATTAAATAAATAAATAAATAAATAAATAAAATCACCTCCACCAACCACTTTATCTTTGGCTTTAATCACAACAAAGCTAAATGTTAACCATATTAAAAAACCAACATTTTGAGACCTTGCAAACTTTACCTTTCATTTGACTATTTTCTTTGTAATAACTTCATGTAACAATGGATCCCATAAAAAAATGCCACTTTCAGTCACTAAACATTTATAGTCTACTACTCATGGAAGAAACACTTCTTCTGTCAAGCTGTTATTAACTCATAGAAGTTCCTGGCCAACACATTTCATCTTATTGATTGTGTATGTTGTCACCTAGAGGTAGGATCATCTACCTAGCATGAATGTCAGGGGGAGCTAACATTTGTAAGATTCTTAGAAATGCAAAATATTACTAATTCTGAAATCTTTTACTGGATTGATAGATATTTGTTTTTAATGGGTAACTTGTTTTCTAGGTAGAAAGGTCATAAACCAGATTAAACTAAGCAAAGAACTGTCCATTCTTATTTTTACTATTTGCAGTAGCTAGGGAATCAATCAAATCTCTATGCCTGTTAGCTGCTAGGAAATAATATTTAAGGAAAATTCATGAACAAAACCTTTCAGAGGGTGTTTGTTTATGAAGAATTGCCACCCTGAGAAAAGAAGAAAGGGCAGCCTAACTAATGAAGTATTTATACCTACAGTTCAGCTGGACCTATGAGGGTTACACCTGCATACCCAGGAACCAAATTTGCTCTTCCATGATTTAATGGGAGTAAGACAAAATGTGGGACAGCTCTGCCTATCCTGCACAGTATGACAGTCCACTTTTTACCATGACTGCTAAATTTTAAAAGTATTAGGCTAAGAGAATCTGATTAACAGACTTCAGAAAAACCTCCAGGAAAAGCTTGTCCTTCATATTATAACTCAATGAGTGAAAATAGTCTGGAAAAAAAAAAAAACAAACAACACAACACCAAAACTCTGTGTCTTAGTATTTATAAGACTTTTCAGTGGTACACAGAAAACAACACACACGCATACAGACAAATCAAAATATTACTGTAATCTACTCCTGGCTTAATGTTCTGTTTAGTCTTTTGAAACAAATAATTTAGAAGGCAACGTACAGTGTAGAGGCCCACAGTGGATTGCAATATACTAAGTAAGCATGTTTTTCTTTTTGTTTAATTTATAGTCCCTGGAAAACAAAACAAAAAAAAGACATTTAAAACTCTATTGTCTAGGTTTACAAAGCTCAAAGGGATAGTTAGTTCTTAGCTGACTGTATTGCTGGCTAAAATGTTAGACATGCTTTACCACTAGAGGTCTTCTCATTTACGGATGTACTACGGCCTCCAGGGTTCTTCATCATCAGTGGACATATGTTTTAATCACAGAGAATTGCAAAATACATTGTTGTCTTAAAATTGACAACTGCAGGATAAGTATATGGGTATCAACCTAGAATTTGCTGTATTAGCAGTGGAAGCAATAATTTCCCCAAGAGAAACTGGATTTTCATCTTTTATTATACACTTACCGTTTATCTCGCTTGAGTAATTTCTTAAAGCAAAAACTCCTGCCAGACTCTGTGAATAACAGGTTTTTGCTCTCAGTGATAAAACTGAAGGGGAAAAAAACAAAGCAGGAAAAAAATTGGTGGCCCTGACTGAATTGAGTTACTTCATTTTTTTGGCTCTTGGTGCAATTTTCGTTCCTTTTTTCCATGTTTTTGTGTTCTTAACCAATGTGGATCGCTCTGTAAATGGAAACATTCAATGCTGAAAATGTCAAAACAAAACATTCAATCTTTTTAGAATTTTACTGTCTGAAACCAAATTCTCTCAAAATTTTAAGAGAGATGTAGTGAGTAAGGAACCACTTATTTTTGTGAATTAACTGTTCTTTTATTTCTAGTTAGTCATAACAGGGCAACAGCACATCCAACTGGGTTGCATAAAAACAGGCCCAGGGAATAATGGGTTTATAATTTTTTGCATAGCATAGCAGAGAAATCAACACTTACTAAAGAAATCATAAATCACTGAAACAAAAAAAGGAGAGTGTAAGAGGTCTATGACGAAAATGTCACCCTTCACCGGAGCTGAGTGAGAACTGTAAAACACTTGCCAGCCAAGTAGTTTCTGCAGATGCCCAGTGCAAACACAAAACACAGGAAAGATGAGGCTATGTCAGTCTCATGTCCTATCTTGTTCAAAGCTATGGAAAATAAAATCTGCTTTTATCTGTCCCATCAACCAACTTCCCTTTTTTGCTGCACTTCATTGGTTCCTTTGTTACCTTATTTCCTACTTTCCACTAGTTTTTGAGCTTGCAGGTCTTACTGCACTTACATGCACTGGAATAGACCATTTATTTCCCCTTACTCCATGCACTGGAATAGACCATTTATTTCCCCTTTGGAACCACTCTGATTTCACATACAAGCTCACTGTAGAAAACACCAGTATATTTTCATTAGAAAACACTTGCATACAACACAGGCATGGCCTATGGTTACTAAACACCAGCAACATCAGTCTGCCCAACATCCAGTCTTCATCCAAAAGCTGAAGGGCAAATTCCCTTTGCAAGGCTTTGAAATGCCAAATTTCAACTTCCCTCCCTCTATGTTCAATTCTAAGACAGTTCAAGAAAATCTTTTAATGATACTTTTCTAAGATATAATTTTGTTCAAATGCTTCAGTTGCAACCACCCACAGACAGAGCTCAGAGCTGGCCATTTCCAGGAATACCTTTCAAAGCTGTGTCTGTCAACAGGGTCAGAATAGATACAGGCAGGAAGCCTCTGTAACTGTCATTGGTGTGTCCATTAAAAAACTGCAACTTAATATTATTGCTGCTGAGATCTTTGTACTTGCTTTCTAACGTACAAACTTTCCATTTGTGTTTTGAATAGGTAAGCCTACAGGGTATGGATCCAGCAGTAGACGCTTACACCACAAGGGAATAGTGGATGAATGCTGCTTCCAGAGTTGTGACCTGAGGAGGCTGGAGATGTATTGTGCTCCAATAAAGCCACCTAAATCTGCACGCTCTGTACGTGCTCAGCGCCACACTGATATGCCAAAAGCACAAAAGGTAGGCCAGGCTGAAAAGAGGGGGGAAAAAAAAAGAAAGTCCCTACAAATTTACTTTAGGGAAGGAAAAGCCTGTCAAGGCTGTTAACATTGCAAACAACTGGTGTGTTCTGCCTACTAGGGACACTGAGATTCAGTGGGGTTTTGGGAAATAGTGTCTGTGGTAGGAAATAAGTAGAAAGTGGTGTGCTCTATCTCATCTCTTAAAACAGTGAGTAAAACATGGATTTGCTAAGCTAGTAGTTGTGAGGCTTTATTCTGCTGCTGGGTAGTAAATGACAAGTGCTCACATCATCCATTCATAAATAGCACCTAAGTCTTCATTCAGAAGAGAAACCAAACACTGAATGTTTAACGTGATCTATTCACTCACTCATACTTCCTCGTCAGGAAAAGGTAGATTGAGTGATCAAGAGCAAAAACATAGCTCTTCTGCAATTCATTTTACATGTAAATGAGCGTATGATTTTTATATGTGATTATTTTGACTTTTAAAAAATGTATTTATCAGAATGAAATTAACCAGATAGTCACTGCAATAATTACATTCCTAATATTAACTATTTAATTTTTAATATGTTTTAATTTATATTTTTTTAAAAAATTTTTATTATTCTCCAAGCACTTCAAATATTTATTGGTGTTTTTTGTATAGTTGTGGAGTTCAGATTATCCAGATTTTGTTCCTGTTGTACTAGGTATACTGTACATATATACAGTTAAATCTCCTTTCTCCTCTGGAGAGCCTACAGTTCAGAAAACCCATCTTAGATGAGGCTGCCATTAAGCTCATGTCCAACTGCCTCTCCTGCTTGAGTTCTGAACATCTGTTTTACATGTTATCTGTCATCTGCTGTAAGCCTCTAGTGATATATTTTATTGCTGTTGACCCTGTCTGTCCTACACATATGTTGGCTCCACTCCTGCAGTTATCTGAAATTTTTGTCATGTAAGAAACGGAACTGCATGAAATCCTGGGATTTCATAGGAAGTCAGGAAACCAGTCCTATACACTAATTTCCTTAATATCATCTTTATGAAAAAAACAATTGTAATCATGCCAACATCCATTTCTGTTCCATAAACAATCCGTAGAATAGAATCCTTTCATCTTTTCCTCAAGTTTTCAACCTTTTACAGTAAAGGCTGTACAGTTCTTCCTGGGAACTACCAGCTTAGCTCTGAACATCTCAAAAGGAACACAGGACAACAGGTGAAGTCTTCTTCAGGTAGAGCTCAACTATAGACAAAAAAAAAAATCCAACAAAACCCTGAGGTTTATTCCTGTCTGGGAATTAAGAATTGAGGGAACAGAAGACAACAGGCTTGGCCAGGAACGCATGTGCTCTTTCCCATACTTGTTGCTAAGGTGATGAGTAAAACATTCTGTAACTTCAAGCTAAAGGAGACAAGATACCTGCCAGCTCTCTGACAGATCTCCACACCACTTTCCTTGGAGGGCCAAGGAATTATGTCATACTTTGGGCAGACATCATCTTCCTAGTTCAAAAGATAGGCAGAAAAATACTTTTCCTACAAACAGGGAGGAACAGAAGAAAGGCCTTGCATCTTTCAGTGGCAGCAGGGGAAGGAGGTGGTGTTCAAGAGGGGTTACTGGAAGAAGAAAAAAATTAGAGGGACTGTGTAATAATTGAGATAACCTAGCTGCAGAAGAAATCATCCAGAAAATTAAAAGGAGATTAAAACAAGAGGTGAAAGAGGCAGTAAAAAGACAATGAGGAGCATGGAATTAGATCAAAGAGGCTGAGAGGATGAGAAACATTGAAGAACCAAACAAACCACAGTGCATCACATAGGAAGAACAGAATTTTGAGAAAAAGGGGAAACAAGATAAAATGAGGAAAAAAATATATTATTAATTCAAAAAAACTCTTTAAATAAAATTTGTGGGGAAAGTAGAAGAGAGATTAACAAAATCAGAAAAATCATAAATATTTCTTGATGGGAATTTGGTAATAAAAGAATAGAAATGTGTTATGGGAAAAACAAACTGAAATTTTCATTAATATCAGTGGATGGAGAAAATTAGATGGAGTAAACAAAAATACAAAAGGGGTAGGAGAAATGATTATTTAGATTTATGACAGATAAAAGGAAAATACAGAGAAAACTTGAGCTATTTTTTTTGTCCATGAGAATGTTTTTCTCTCTTAATATTATATGTTATCTATGAGATACCTATCTTATAAAGTGAATATATGTATGTAAAATATCATATGTTCTTTCTTTATTTTTTTATGTAAGATTTAAGGCAGGATTATGTGGAATATATAAATGTTGTACAGGTACTGACAAATTTTTTTACACAGTTTCTTATCCCTTTTATACTCCTAGTGTAGTTTTTATTTGGCATCTCCTCATAACCTTTTTAATAGACAAATGCAGGATTTGGGTTTGGGGTTGAAGTGTTCTTTTTAAATGGCCTACTTTCCCAATTCCTCAAGCAGATCACTTTCCTATGCACAATTTGGTAGAATCATAGAATCACCGAATCATTAAGGTTTGAAAAGACCTTCTATATCATCAAGTCCTACCATCAGCTCTACAGCCCCACTAAACCATCTCCCAAAACACCACATCTACCTGTTTTTTGAACCACCTCCAGGAACCGTACCTGTGCCACCTCACTGGGCAGCCTCACCGCTCTTTCTGTGAAGAATTTTTTTCCTAATATCCAAACAGAACCTCCTCTGGCACAACTTGACCCCATTTCCTCTTGTCTTATCACTAGTCACTAGGGAGAAGAGGCCAACACCCACCTCACTACAACCTCCTCTCAGGCAGCTGTAGAGAGCAATGAGGTCTCCCCTCAGCCTCCTCTTCTCCAGGCTGACCCGCCCCAGCTCCCACAGCCTCTCCTCATAAGGCCAGTTAATCAGCCCCCTAATCAGCCTCGCTGCCCTTCTCTGCACCCTCTCCAGCAACTCAATGTCCTTCCTATCCTGCGGAGCCCAAAAATGCACACAGTGATCGACATGTGTCCTCACCAAGGCAAGTTTGGGGCAGGATCACCTTCCTGATCCTGCTGGTCACACTATTTCTGATGCAGGCCAGGATAATGTTGGCTGCCTTGGCCACCTGGGCACACTGTTTGCTCACGTTCAGCGGGCTGACGATCAGCACCCCCAGGTCCCTTCTCCAGCCACTCCTCCCCAAGCCTGTAGAGCTCCTGGGGGTTGTTGTGGCTTAAGTACAGGACCCAGCATTTGGCTTTATTGAATCTCATGCAATCAAGCCTGTCCAGATCCCTCTGTGAAGCCCCCATACCCTTAAGCAGATCAACATTCCCACCCAACTTAGTGTCATCTGCAAACTTACTAACCCCTCATGCAAGTCATCAATAAAGATAAACAGGAGCAGCCCCAGCACTGACTCCATTGAACACAACTCTTTGGACCCGGCCATCCAACCAGCTTTTTATCCAGCAAAGTGTGTGCACATCCAAGCCATGAGCAGCCAGCTTCTCTAGGAGAATGCTGTGGGAAATTGTTTGAAAGGCCTTGCTAAAGCCAAGGTAGACAACATCCACAGCTCTTCCCTCATCCAATAAGCAGGTCACCCTGAATAGTTTGCTTCAATGGAGCAGGACTGTTCCTCTGTTCATAGGGCAGAGGATCTTTAGTTGTTATATTACAAACAAGTCTTACTACACTACATGCACAAATCTGAGTGTTGAGGGCCAGGCACTGAATGATTAATGCAGGCCAGGAACCCCAATATGCCTTTTTGTTGCTATAAGGCCAACATCAAGAATTAGTTTTAAACCAATTACAGTGGTTGTATGTGTAGCTTTGTTTGTGTGTAGCTAAAAAACAAAATATTTGTTTCTCTATAAGACCATTATTTGTCTTGTTCTATGACTTTTAGTCACAAAAAAATACAAAATCAAATTGAAAAGTGAAAAATAAAGACATTGTTATGATGTTCTTGGGGCGATTATATACACAGTGTACTTCACAGATTCACAAAATAAATGAATAAATAAATAAATATTTAAAAGTGAATATATAAAAATATATATAAATATATATCTAAAAGGCAGTTAGAAGCACTTTATTATTACCACAGCTGCTATATACAATGGAGCTCATACCCAAACTTAACTCTATTCTAATTTAGATGTCCAGCTTTTGCCACCTCTTTTGCACTCAGCCCATGACAAGATTGCCTTGCACTGGAGCAGCCAATGAATGCAACAAACACACATCAGAACTTGCAAAGAGAAATGAGGTGTGCATCAGAGTACAATGTGGTAGCCACAGGCTACCTACCCTGTAGTCTCTAGTGAACAGATGGGACAACTCAGAGTATCTTTCCATCTGTATTTCAGCACTATGGGCCTTGAGTAAGTTATGAAGTACAATGATAGGCAGTTTCTCTTAGTGGCTGACAGTCAAATATCCTTCTCAGAAATCTATCTGAAGGCTACCAAACTCTCACCAGTGAGTGTTCCCTACTTCAAAACAAAACAAGTCCCCAAAATACTTTATATTTTTTGAGTCAAAGTCTACAGGAATCATCCAACCTGTCTGGCTCAGCAACTAAGTCTGGGATGAAAACACTGGTTGTAATTGGAGAGGTTTCTGGACTATTCAAATGTGAAACAATACATATATCCAAGTTAGGGTACAGGAAATACACAATGAAATGGCATAGAAGAAAAGTTGTCTTCAATTGTGACAACTTTGGTTGGGACAACTGGACACCAGTTGGTTAATAAGAAAATGCTTTCGTTTTATACAAATATTTTTTTCAATAGCCTTCACATGTTGCTGTAACAATCATATCTGAAGATTTTATACAAAAAACAATATCACTGGCTAAGATTTAGCAAGATTTTTACTTTTTATCTTTTGGTTTTGCTCCTCTGAATTTGATCTGCAAAGGTAAATTTTTCCTTTAGAATAGAGTACAATCTATCAATATAATCTACTTACAGTCAATCTGTGCTCTGTAATATATTGTTCTGATCATTCAGAT